CTGTATAGTCTGATTAAGCTGCTTTCATTGGTTTCTTGTTTTTCACAAGAGGAAGAATTTCCCAGCCAGGTAATGAACATCGGAAAAGATGGAATATGGCCTGCACACAAAGACATTACTAGAGGTTACACTGCATGAGACAGCTGTAAAAACACAGTGTTGAGGAAAAAAAGAATTATTTTAACTGTACTGATTACTTTCTATTACACCCACATCTACTGCCAGTTCAGAAACTGCATGTTACACAATCTACTGCAATGAACGAATTCCCCTGCTTTTCAAGGGAGATCTTGGTATCCTCGCTGTACTCTCAATTTAACGCACGCAAAGGTTGCCCTCCAGTTGCAGAAATATGCATGATGCAAGCATCCATACACATCAACCAACAAAGGTTTTCATTCAAGTCTTTTATTATAGCTTGAATTTTTTCACTGCATTTAAAAAACTAAAAAAAATAAATATTTGTTTCACAGCTGCAAGTCACATATGCATTAACACCACAAAATCTGGAATTTAACCAGAGAAGAAAAGTCAAATCCAAAAGTGTCCAGCTAAGCACAATCATCTCAGGGCAATTATACTAAAAATAAAATCTTAAGAAAAGGGGAAGGGGGTGTTAAAGAGTTATTCCAAATGCATTTATCTGGAAAAAAGTGAAAATTCTATTAGAAACCATAAACTAGGCTTTCAGCATTTAAAAATAAATGTTTAACCTCTTGACAGCAACAATTGTCTCGTGCATCTTTTTCTTTTAAGCTGTATTCTTGACACATGGCTGCAGAGGTTTCAAATGATAAATTAACCTCTTTTATAATTGTGTCCACTTAATTACAGAATCAGTCCTTAAAAATAAAATAGTGTATTAAGTCAGCTTGTCCATCCACATATTAAAAATGCCATTGTATGCAGTTTTGTATCGGTACTAAGTGACTGCTTCATGGATTGTACATTGTGAAGATGAATGTCTCTTAAACAATCACTTTTGTTATTAAGGTTCTTAAAACAAACCAGAAAAATATATATCTTCAGAAATCAGTCGTCACTTCTGTTAAAAGCCATAAAATAAGCTCATATTCAATTACAAGCAAATAGAAACCATACTGCTGTTGGAACATGGTTATTTTATCACAAAAATTTATTATTTACAAAATGAAAAGTTACCAAGTGAATTTATCAGGGAAAAAGTTAAATGTTCTCACTAAGTGACCTGAAAACCTTAAGCAAGTCTCTCATGCACTCACACGCCAAATTGTTTGCATAAGGTGAAATGTTAACCCATGTTAGTGAAACTTGACTCCCATTCACAATACTCTCGTTTTTATTGTAAGATGGCAAAATCCACATGGTTCTGTACAAGGTATGTATTAAGACAGTCTGTCATTTTTGTAAATGTTTTTTGACTCCCATGAATATCCGTACCACTGAACATTTTTGCAAATAATCAGTTATATTATCAACTCCTCCATTTACTCCACTGAATTTACCACCACAAGACACAAAAAGTTAGTTTAATAATCCCACGTTACACAGAACTCTCATTTCTGAAGTTATACTAAACTGAAACCTTCATAGTGATCTATAGCCTGGATCAACTTAGACTTCAGGGTTTCTTTATCTGTGTATTTTGGAAGATCAAGAAGATTAAAGCAAGTGTGAGCTACCGGAAGATAACCTTCTCCACCTCCTGTTGGCTGGATGACTAGTTTAAGACACTTCATTCCAAGAATTGGAATACGATCACTGCCTGTCAGAAACACTGCCAAGAAAAAACAAACAAAGTCCTGAAAGTAGTTTAAGACTAACATTGTATATATGTCATATATACAGTTCTAATCATTATTTGCATTTTTTAATTATTCCAGCAATGGTTAGCTTTTCACACCAAAGTTGTTCTAGTAAGTCTGAAAAGCAGGGAATGACAATTTAACCCAATGTCCAGCTTACACATATGAACTCTTAACTCTAACATAACAAGTGATATATAAAGGAAAATATTTCCTTTTGTCATATGAAACCAAACAGTCTCAAAAAAAAAAAAAAAAAGCAGGAAGTTCTTCACGCATCAAAACCTGTTATTTAAAAAACAGTGGTGATACCTTTACTGAGCATTTGTAAATACACAGAATTAGTTTGTTCAGTAAGAAATTTATCTGAATTGGAAACTAATCTATGATCTATTCTCAACAAGAGCTCATTCACAGCAAGCTTCAATAACTTTGTTTTTCCCTGTACATTGCCACTCATATCAGTACCTTGGCGTATTTACAATCAGTTATAACTTCAACATTCCATTTATGTGCAATGAAAGAACTGGAGGAGGTGAACCTGATGTCAAAACATGGGAAAAAAAATTTGGTCATCAGATAAATGACACTAGCAGTTTAGGTTGTTGTGGTTTTAGGGGAATTTTTTTGTTTGTTGTGGTGGGGTGGGGTTTTTTTTGTTGTTGTTGGTTTGGTTTTTCGTTTGTTTGGTTTTGGTTTTGTTTGTTTGTTTTTGGTTTTGTTTGTTTGTTTTTGTTTTGGATCTTGGGAAACAGGATGCTGCTCTGGTCTACTGTGATCTTGTAACTGCCCACCACCCAGAATTAGTCAGGATAACTCCAGCAAAATCAGAGACAAGCTCATAATCGATTTCTTCTACTACAATCTTTTTCTTCCAAATAAAGTTAATCACATCATTATAGACAAATACGTCTGCCCTCTTACAGCAAGAGCCTCAAATCACAGCGATCCTGTCCAGCTAGCAACTTCTGTGAAGTAGTTTCAAATACTTACACAAAAACTGTTTTTTCTTCTCCAAAGACAGCTCATGAAAAACCTCCCAGAATATTTTAATTGTAGGGTGGTCTGCCCAGTATTCTCCTTTGTATTCTGTATTCTAAAATGAGCAGGAAATTAGGTTATTGTTCGCAGGCAGAACTAACAGGATAATCTGACATTAAAGCAGAATGATTGTGGTTTGTGTCAAGTGATACTGCAAGTGACATATTACTGTTTTCCATGGTCAATCTGCTTCAGCTGTACAGTCTGACTTCAACTACATGGCCAGACGCATGTACTCCAAAGGATTTTCAATCCCAGCAAAGTAGTGATAAAATCTCACAGTGAGTTTTGGCAATCAAGAGTATTTACTTTAACTGTGGGAATTCTGTTCACTGTTGCCCTTCTAACACAATCCATCATGCTGCCTTTTGGTTCTGTGGATTTTTCTTCCTCTCTCTTCTTCTAAGTCTGATTTCCTTCAGAAATCGGATGGAAACACTTTAAGCAGGAAGGTAAATAATATTTTATATCTTCATTCACTGACATTTTGAAAAAAGTTCCTCACTCATGCAGTCAATCCAATTAATGCTGGAAGTCACATTAATTAAAACAGAGCTCAAAAGGACACTTCAAGATTTTGCTTTCACATCTTGAAATTAAAAAGATATGAAATAAATAGCTAACTATGGTTCTTACCTTCTCCAATTCTTTCCAATCATAATTTGTGTTCCCAATCACCATTGCCTGCAACTCGCTAGGCTGGAAGAGCTGAAGAACTTTACCTCCGCATACTTTGTGGAAGCCTGTGTGGAATGCACTGAATAAGGAAGCCACAGATTTATTGAAGATGTAATCCACATATGCATCTACAAAATCCTGCCTGTACAAACAAAAAAAAAGAATTATGTGGAGAGGAAAAAAAAACCCCAAACCAAACATACGTGTCACCCTTCTACTAATAAACAGTAGCCACTTCTGTACAGAACACAACATAGAAAGTTAAGTAAAAAGGACCCTAATGTATTATACTCTCTGCTTCATATTACAACCACAGTGAAGACAACCTTGATGAAAATGACACACAAATGTATTTCCCCACCACGCCCCCCAAGACAGAGGCCATAACGTGCCACAGAAAACCAGTACCAGTCAGCATGATTTATTTTAGGCACTACAAACATTTCTCCTGCTTGTATGCATTGCAGTGAACTGGACTGAATGGCAACAAGCTTAAAGGCTTGAATTACATGCAGTGTCCTGAAACCAACTTGTCAAACTCACTGTTGTATTTTTTTAATTAAAAAGATTACCATATTTGCACTAAAAATGCAAATCAACTTCAGACAGACATCTGAGTCCTATATAGTAGAAAGCTCTGTGCAAAGGAGCTAAGATACTGGAAAACAGCCAGCCTGTTATCTGGGCTTCGGTACTAGGAGCTCTTATATCTTGTTGGAAACGTCTTCTTCTGCAGCATTCAGGGAGAGAACTAGAATTCCTTGATGTCATACAGTATTCGTGACTATGATTTTTTTTTTTCTTAGTTACCATTTTAACACTGGCAGAGTGCCCTCAGTTCTAGATTACAGTTATTCTACCAACACACATCCCCTGTGGAAACCCACGGTATTTGAACAACATCCACAGTATTTGAACACCACCACCAATAATTTAAAGAATCATCTAAACATATTTTGACAATACATTTATTAAAGTTGTTGAACTGAAAATATTGGAGATGAGCAAAGTGGTGAATCATGCTCCTCTTCCAGCACTCAATGATATATCCACTTTATGCGTGCTATGTAATTAGCAGAGAGGCAGGTAACTTGTGTAACACTTAAGTGGAAGGAAAGGCTGTTCCAGAGAAAATTCATAGTAAGAAACTACTTAGCATTATTGTACTCTATGTTAATATTTTAAAAACTGAATTAAAGCATCACGGACTATTGGATCTTGGGAAACAGGAATTCTTCATTACTGCAAGACAAAGGGTGACAACAGTGCAGCATACATTCCATGGGCACCTCAAAACTTTTCTTGTGATTCCAACTTTACCGTCACTTTGTGCCAGAACATCAAACCATCACCAGAGAACTTCAAAGCTACTGTGTTTAAGATAAAGTATGACAAATCCTCAGCTATGAGACAAGGATTTTATAAAAAAAAAAAAAAAAAAGGCACAGGTTTAGGTATAGGTGGTGATTGCAGTTGTTAATGATAGGGTAAGTCAGAAGGATAAAAAAAAAAATCACTCCATTGGGGGCGGTACTGTCACTGCACATGGCTATGTGCAGGTTTATTATACCCTCAGAATCTTCCATCATCACTCT